TGTTCTTTCTTCTCTGTGTTAAAGAGCTGTGAAAACTCCGGTATCTCTGAGACCCGGTCTGAGGTGATTCAAGCCCCCCCGAGGGGGGAGGGGGGGGGGTAGGTAAGTGTATTTCCCTTATTACTAAAAATTCTTTTTCTTCTTTTTTTTTTTTTTTTTAAAAGAAACAGGGAAGGTAACTTGGATATCAGGGGAAAGAACTATAACTAAACTAGGGAGAAAAAAGTTAATCAGACTCTCTGACCCTGTCAGACTCTCTGACAAGGGAGTTACTCACCTTGTGCAGTAACGACTGTTCTTCGAGATGTGTGTCCCCGTGGGTGCTCCACGACCCTCCCTACCTCCCCTCTGCTCGGAGTCGAAATTACTCGGGCGGAGACGAGGAACTGAAAGGGAGGGGGATGAGTCACACTCCTCAGGAGGCGGCAAGGGCTCGAGACGCCTCCTGGGCATGCGTGACTCAACAGGGGAAACTGCTATAGAAAGCTCCGATCTGAGGCTCAGGGCGACCCTTCACCTACAGTGGAGCACCCACGGGGACACTACTCGAAGAAGAAATCAGAGTTTCCCCCGTTGCCTCGCTCACCACGTGCAGGCAGAAAGGGCCTAGCTGCCCTGACCCCTCAGTCCCTTCCTGCGGCCACACTGACGAGAGGGGAGGGGAGCAGGCTGTAGAACAGACGTGTGCAACCTCTCAGAAAGCAACAGCGCTGGAAAGGAGAGGAGCCTGTTCCAACCCTTCCAGTAACAGCACACCTCCACTCCACTGCTGTAGGGACTCACAAGCAGCCCCACCTGAGTCTCTGAACAGGGGCTGGAGGGTCACCCATCCACACAAACCAGAGAGGGCGCGTGGTGGGAGGCAAACACAAAAGGAGGACGAGGATGCTGCTTTCCAAAGGTCGAATACGGGCATTTGAGCCAGAAGTGTCGCAGAGGTTGCTTGGGATCTAGCTGAACAACTCGGGGATCTAGCCAGTGGGCTCACGCCAGCCAGCTAACAGGCAAAGAAATCCTGGTACTCCTGTGGAAGCCCCTAGGGTTGCCAGATGGTTTCAGAAAAAATACCCCCCCCCCCCCAAAAAAAAAAGAAGGACCCTGAGAGTTATGCAAAACAAAACAAAACAAAAAAGCGCAGCCCCTTTAAGAAACGTGTGGTGAGGCTTTTTGGCCCTAACAGGCTGCCAGCAGCCACCCACCATCTTGCCTCCATGCACAGGGCCGGACAGCTCCTCTGCGCAACCCAGTAAGCACTAGAGTTCCAGGCTGCCTCTGTATTGAGCTGGACAGCCCGGGATTTTCGCCTCCTGGCCAGCGAAAAACCAGAAAGTACCGGATATTTCAGGTGTCCGGTATTTTCTGAATTTTTGTACTGGACAGGAGGCGAAAATACTGGACACCTGGCAACCCTAGAAGCCCCATGTGTGGACACACGGCTGCCCTAACTCTGCAAATGCAATCAACAACTGAGCAGGAGATCTGAAATACTTCACCCGTTCCAGAGAAAATGCTGAAGTTCTTTTCAAGTCTATTTGTGTAGCCCCTTTACTACCGGGAGAGTTTGGGAAAAGGTCCATAAGACAACTGTGGTGGTGTCAAAGTGGAGACGGCCTGCATAAGAAAACTTGGATGGGGGGGAGAGGGGAAGCAGATTTTGTGTGTGTTCTGATACTGTTGCCTTGGTCTTCCTAGAGCAGCTCTAATCTAACAAGCTCTGTCCACTTGCTCCCTGTGCCCCATCAGTCCTGATGTTGATTTAACTCATGCAACACGCCCCTGCTCATTACCGCAGGATCCGAGGTAGCTCTGGACTCCTGTAGATGTACTTATGCCTGTAGCCTAGGTCTCTGTGAAACGGAACAAACTGTACTTTGTAGTCACGGAAACTCCGAGATGGTGCAGCTATGTTATACAGCTGTAGAAAGAATAAAACAGGGAAGGTACAAATCACAACATTTCAAAATTGTGCTATAGTACTAGCTAGCTAAAAATACACTTATAGTCTGCACACAGTGATCTTTACACAGTCATTCAGTGCACACCATCCCACACCCATGGGCTGGGGCAGACAGATTTTGGTGGAAGATAAAAATGAATACAGCATCCACTAGCAATTGGGGGTGCGGGGTTTGAATGAAAAAAAAAAAAAAAAATCAGCAGTATTAGGGAAGAGTCCAGAACAGATGCACAAAGGGGTATGTATCTACAACCTGTTTTAAAATAGAGAACCTCAGAGTTACAAACTGGTCAATCAACTACACAATTGCTTTGGAATCAGGCAGCAGACAAACAAAAATGCGCACACACAATACAGTATTGTGCTAAACAAAATACTAAAAATAAAGGGAAAGTTTAAAAAGTATTTGACAAGGAAAAAAAACTCTTGTATTTGTTTCATTCAAATTAAGATGGTTAAAAGCAGCAGTTTTCTTCTGCACAGGAAAGTTTCAAAACTGTATTAAGTCAATGTTCAATTGTAAACTTTTGAAAGAACCACCATCACATTTTAGTCAGAGCTACTAAGGTTCCTAAAGTGTTTGTAACTGAGGCTCTCTTCGAATTTCCTCTCAGAACTCCTGTTACCTAGTTGTGTCTGACACCCCCCACCCACACATGCACACCGCTTGTTCTAATCTAATGGATGATGCAGGAACTTTCCATGCACTAATTCTAATTCACAAAGGACAGTTAGTAGATTCAGTTGGACAAAACGAAGCTTTGGTAGGAGAGCTATTATGTAACTAACTGCTGAAATCAGCCTGACGTCCTAAACAAGATGAGTTGGCCCCCACTAATAACCTGTATGAATTATAAACATTGTAACTGGTGCCCACAAAGAAATCCCAAAGCACAGTGGCAATGGGATTAATTATAACCAGAGAACAGGCTCCATTGCCTTCCACTGACGAATGGAGCAGTACCTTGGTAAAGAGCTGTTGAAATTAAGTTTCTATTTAGGTAAGATCTGCCTGGTATAGTTCGGTTACAGCGACCTCATTTAAAATAGATTTATGGAATAGTGTTTGAACCCTTGCGTCCAGAAATCTAAGGCATATTCGGTCAGTCTCTGCTGACTCTTTCATTCTTGGGCTAGTGTTACCATAACATACTCTCCCTAATTTCTTCCACAATTATTTTATTTTTTATAGACTGATACATTTTTCACAGCTCTTTCCCACAGCAAATACCAGATACCTGGAGGGCTTGTTTCAATATACACAAGATTTAGCAGCCAATGTATTAAACATCAGATCCCTTCAGTACCACACACTTTGTACACATCAGTCCTTATTAAAGCTGCTAGTTTTTATCATCGCATTGCTACCTTTCTCTGACTAGAACAGAATGGTTTGTTTGGGTAATTCTTTAAGACACACAATTCTCTCCTATCAAATGGCCAACTTGAAGCAGATCTGTTATGCTGGCTAAAGAAACGCACCTTCTTTCCGAGATGAAATGGTACAACAGGGTCATCTTCAGCATGAAGAATAAGCAACGAGCAGGAAATGTATTTCACGCTGCAAAAGGGAAAATTTGTCACTAGCCATAAAAGAAAAATTAAAATTCCAGACTCAATCCCTCAGCACGATTTGGTTATATTTTTGACGGAGAGGCTTTGAGTGCCTGTTGTTTCTAATATATTGCCTTTCTACAAACAAGCAGTTCTCTTCTACCTCGCTTCTATGACAGTCTGTCCCTGGCCCTTTGACGAACAATTTTAGCATCATTAAGCAACACTCACAATCAAAATCACTAGCTTCATCAAATTCACCGCTCGTCCCTTCAAATGCAAATGGAGCCAATTCTCTTTGGCTTATTGTCGCTCTTCTCAAACAAACCCCGCTAATAAATAAATCCCATCATATTCCGCAAAGCTGGCAAAAGATAATGCAGCATAGCGGATTGCTATGGAGCTTATTTTAAAAACAATCGAGAGCGAGCTCAGTGTGCAATGAAACACTCCAATTCCTCTGCACTTTGGAATCGGAAAGTGTTTATGAGGGGACATTGTATCCTTGAGTCTCTCGACCACCAAGTTTTGTGATTCTATTGGGTGGGATTTCCAGGGAAGCGCGTGTGACAAAATTCCCACACTGATTTACTGCTTTTCAGACTGTGGTAAAGCAGTTACCTAGACACCAATTAATATGATCTAAGCAAAAAATGGTAAGATCACGGGAGAATCAATCTGCTGATTACAAAGTGACCAGGGGGCGCATCTCTCCACAGTAAGGGTCAATACAAGGCGGGTTTCTTGTTTGCGTTTCTAAGAGGAGCCACTGTGCATTTGGAAAACAGTCTAGCGGCTAAGACAGATGACCTGGATTCTATTGAAATCCGTGGCAGATTCACGTGTGACCTTAGACAGGCACCATGATCCTGCTCTCTGGACATGCTGAGAGGTTTCATTCATTACAGTTCGTGAAGCGCTTAGATTCCTTGCTGGCAGATGCTGCAGAAGTGCAAAGCTGCATTAGTGCTGTGACAGCCAGACTGCGTCCCTGCGTAACAGCCCAATCGCCAGCTGCCTGCCTTGCCCACTAGGACAGTTTCAGTCAACATACCAACTAGAGCAGTGGTCCCCAACCTTTGTGTGGCCAATAGCACATTCATGTTTTCAGGAGAGTGTGGCGGGCGCCCACAAAAAAAGGCGTCAATGTGAAATTGAAGGTTATTTTCATGTTAAATGTGAATTGGGTAAATTTGATAGAAACTTAATTTAGTTGGATAATTTTTATTTTAATTATATTGCAATTCATTTTTAAACAAAATTCTGCATTAATAAAAAGGAGGGATGTCCAAATGTTGAGCAAAAAAAGCACCCCCCCCCCCCCCCAAAAACAAAAAAAGGCGTCAATGTGAAATTGAAGGTTATTTTCATGTTAAATGTGAATTGGGTAAATTTGATAGAAACTTAATTTAGTTGGATAATTTTTATTTTAATTATATTGCAATTCATTTTTAAACAAAATTCTGCATTAATAAAAAGGAGGGATGTCCAAATGTTGAGCAAAAAAAGCACCCCCCCCCCCCCCCAAAAACATGCC